TACTTAATCGCAGTGCACTAAAGGATCTTTCCATCAATACCTGCGAGCAAAGATCAGCTAGAACTACTCTCTATAGGGTATATAATACAGGTTCTTGAAATTTTTTGGATAGCCAATATTGCAAAACATTTTAATAAGGCAATTTTTGACTATTTATTAACCAATTAATTTGTCGTAATATCTATTAGCGAATTAGGGTTAAATAACTAATAAATATATTTTAGGTTAAAATTAAACCTAGCCAACTATTGGGCCAACTAACTAGAACTAAATATTAAGACGAATCCAACTCCTGAGCGGATTCCAGCCAAAGCCTACTCTTCTAGTCAGCTTGAGCCTAAGCCAATTTTTACGACTTAGGTCAGACCCCGAAAATTATTAATTAAATACATATTTACTTGCATTTTTTTGATGATTGAATTATGTAAAAATTATCAAATATTTTCAGTTTTTTTTTCAAAAGAGTAATCTTAAATATAATTATTTCTATGCTAAAATTGAATACTCGTCCACTATGCATAAAAATATGATTGAGCAAAATAATCACAATGAAATATAAATATTATATTAATAAATTGGCCTGGAGTTGGTGCTCGGGTGGTTTATGGATTTGGTCGACCAGATCGGCCCATTTAGTTGGTTCTGGTTCTTTTTTAGACCAAAAATCATGCTAATTCGACCCAACCAATAATTTAACCTTACTAACCTACTGCATACATATTATTCTGCCAATTAAAAATTCGGCAATATCTAAAATCCATATCCTGCTATAGAGTGTCCTAAGTCTTCTTTTAGTCTTTAGATAAATCTGGATAGACTAGTATAACATAAAAAAATGCAGAGCCAAAAAAACCAAGGTCATGCCATTTTTTCATATTTGAAATCAACTATCCCGACAGTTTTAAATAAGATTCCTTCTTGAAAAAATGTAACATACCATGCAAAAAATTAATAAACGTAGTTTGCGGGGTAGGGGGGTGGTTAAGGGGGATTTAAGTCATGGCGTCCAATACATTTTTTTGAGGGTCATTGTAATTAATTTATTCTTTAAAATTATATCTTATATAGAATTGTAATATATTTTTTTTTTAATATTCATATATTTTTTTTGCCTTATCAGTTTATTTATTTCATTTTTTTTAAATTCAAATTGAATGTAAATTTTAGAAATGACTAATAAATCAAACATTCTTATAATATTATCTTCATCTAATCAACTCTGAATCGCAAGATATATTTTTAAATATTCACGACTAGCCATAAAATTTTTAATTTTACTATTTTATTCAAATGTATAATTGTATTTATGAATATCATGGCAAAATAAAGTGTCGTTGTCGAAAAAAAAACTAGGTTATGAAGAGAGTAAATTTTAATTAATTCTTTAAGATTATCACAAGATTAAATATTTTTTTTCCTGTTTTTTATATAAAAATATTTATTGCTATCATAATCCTTATGGAAAATCTAATGTATACCAATAATGTATTGCAAATACTATCCTCCTACCATAGGCATAGCGAAGAGGGTTGGGGACGCCCTCCCCCTCTGAAATTTGCCTGTTTACTTAAATTTTTTAAGTTAATAAAAAAAATTCCCTACACCTCTGCCCCCATCTCCTCAAAAAATATATAATTATATAAACCAGGGATGAGAACCCGAACTCGAATCCTCCATATTTTGCTGAACCCAAACTTGAACCCTTTTTTAAAATTTAGGGTTCAGGGTCTTTTTTTTTTAAAAAATTTTTATTTTAATTTTTAAAAAATTTTATTTTAATTTTTAAAAAATTTTATTTTAATTTTTAAAAAATTTTATTTTAATTTTTAAAAAATTTTATTTTAATTTTTAAAAAATTTTATTTTAATTCTTAAAAAAATTTATTTTAATTTTTTAAAAAATTTTTATTTTTTTTATTTTAAACTTTCATTTTATTTATTTTAATTTATATGTCAAAAATATAAAAAACATGTAATTTCGATTTTCATTTATAAAAGATTTCCTATTTAAAAAGAGTTCCTATTTAAAACAATTGTTTTATTATTCAAAAAAAAATATTAATTTAAAAAAACATTTTTTGATCATTTTTTCATGGAATCATTTTTGTTAATTTAAGATAGTGTTGTTAAAGGCCTCTTTTTGAGCAGATTTTTAAAAAAAAACTAACTCAATACTACTTACAGAAAAATATTACGCAAGCCTGAAAATTTTGCTCATAGAAGGAACAAAATATATTATCGAAATCTCAAGGTTTAGGCAATATTTTTCTGGCTAAGATATTGAGTTAGCCGTTTTTAAAATCAAAACGAGCTGTTTAACAACACTAATTTAAGAATCGGCTAATTTTAAAAATTTTGAATTTTACCCAGCAAAGCAGATTTTAAATTTTTTTTATAAATGATGATAATATCTATTTTAGGATATTGTTATTAGTGGATTATTAAATTGAGAGCAAGACAAAGAGAAGTACAAAATCACGAATATATTATAATGATGATAAATTATTTTTATGGCACCAATTAAAATAAATTTTTTAATAACTCATTATTTTTCTCCGAACCCTGAACCCGAACCGGGTTCAGAGACTTTTCCCTGAACCCATACCCGAACCCATTTTTTTAGGAGGGTTCAAACAATAATTTGAAAGAAAATAAGTTAAAGTTAATAATTTTTAAAAATAATAACTTTATTAAAATTTTCTGCACAAAACATTTTTAAATAAAATGACAACCCAAATTTATTTTTGTAGTAACATTGCCGGTCTATAATAAGTAGACCGACTTCCAATAAAATAACCATCCAATTGTGTTCCCCATTTAGCAAAATCCTAGCTGCGCCTATGATCTTAAATATAATCTATCAATATTTTTTTGGAAATTTTTCATTATCACAATCACCATGACTCGCCTATTTTGTTCAAGATAATTTTTTCGTGCTTCAAAATTTCGTTATAATAATTTTTAACGTGATATAAGCTCTGTTTTTCCCCGAATTTTTTTTAGACAGTTTTTTTTGTTTTTTTTACATCCCTACTATCACACCATTTTTACAAGACTCCTATAACTCATACTTTGGAATAGGGTATATAATTACTAGTTGTAATTTAGTTATGTTCAAGGTATTCTTTACCCACTTTACATTAAAAAAAAGCTCAAAAATTAAATTTAAATATGTTTTCTATATATACAAAATACAATAATAAAATATTTGTCAGAGAATTTGCAGTGGTGGAATATTTAGACCCCCATATCAATTTTTTTAAAAAAAATATAATTTTAATCTTTATTTTTCTTTTTAAGTTTTGATTATTTTAGGTCCAGCCTGGATTAATTTTTTTAAATTATTTAAAATAATTTTGCCTGATTTCAAATTGTTTCAATGTTAAATTGAATATTGAAAAATATGAAGAGTAAATGAATACTGGATAATCTATTTATTACTCAAACCTGAGGATTTTGCTTATAGATGGCACAAAGGTTTTGACATCTATTAGCCAAATCTCGTGATTTAGGCAATATTTTTCGGTTAAAATATTGAGTTGGTTGTTTTTAAAAATTGGCTCAAATCGAGCCGTTTAACAACACTACCCGCACGTCGAAAAATATATAAAGGTTTAATTAATTAACCCAAAAGGCATGTCGCTTATTTAATTTGCTCTCATGTAAAATTCGTTATAATTTATAAACCCTAACTATAAATGCGATTTAATTTAAAAAAAAAACAATCATTCTACCCTCTCTGTTTTTTATTTTTGTAATGTGATCAATAAAATGCAAACGTGCTTTATATGTGTAAAGAAAATTATGAAAAGCGTTGGACATTGGAGATTATTTCATTAATTTCACTGATTTTTTTAAAAAAAAGTATTGGACTTTTTAAACATTAGGTATGCATATGCTCAAAAACTTTCTGCAATGGGAATCATTTTCTTTAAGCGTTTTTAAATTAAATCTACCGTGCCGAGCACTTTTTGGCTTTATATTTACAGACATAAACATAGATACTTCAAATAAAGATATTATACATTTTAAAGTTTTTTCTCCCGTTGTTAATGAACATATTTAAATGAATAATATGACATAAATTACATTTAAATAAAGTAATTATAAATTCCCTTTGCTTATACTGTTATTAGCTCATTATCATTAATCAAGGTCATTATTTTAAAGAAATAAATATTTTTCTATTATCTTAAATTAAATTTGTTTTTATTAAACCGAACTTTTTTCTTATCAGGTTTATTTAGACAAGTCATCAATTTTCCACTATGCGTGCTTTATTACTGTATTTAAAAAATATTTATATACGAAATTTCTTTTACCTAAGAATTAAAATGCTTTCATCAAATAACTTCGCTCTGCCTTATCATATAAGCCAAAAAGTGTTTTATTAATTTAATTTGGCTTCCTAGCGACAATTGGTTTAATCTTAACCCAAATATATATTCATTTCATCTTTTCAAATTTGAGTTCTTTACAGTGGGCTCTTTATTAATAAATTTAAGTGATTTCCATTTGCAAAAAATTTGGTTTCATAGAGTTTTTAAGATAGACCGGATCAAATAATGTATAATATCATTTTAGTGTTGTTAAGTGGCTCTATTTGAGCCGATTTTTAACCGCTAACTCAATATTTTATCCAAAAAACTAATACCCAAACCTGAAGATTTTGATCATAGATAGCACAAAGGTGTGAATATCTAATAGCGAAATCGAGGATTAGTCTATCCTTTTCTGGCTAAAATTTTAAGTTAGCCGTTCATAAAAATCGGCTTAAATCGAGCCTTAAGATAACACTATATTAATTGATAGGGTTCTACCTCCACTTAAATCAAATTAACAGGAAAATAATTTTTATAAAAACCCAATGTCATCTAGTGAACATTATTTTAGGGAAGGGAAATGTATAAGGTTAGGTTGGATCACATCGGATAAGATTTTGGGTTTAACACAATTTAGACCAAAGACGATAAGATATATATGATATAAATTTTTTTAAAGATTGGCAAATGTCCTTAAACCCAATTCGATTGCTAAAATTGTGGAAGATGGATCCATGTTTCATTACATGGCGAACATCGACGCGTTTTTGAAAGTGGCTAAAACCTTGGGAGTCGCGGATCAAGAAACCTTCCAAACGACCGAACTAATCGAAGGGACCAATCTCTACGGTGTCTTGTGTTGCTTACTCGCCTTAGGAAGAAAAGTTAGTAGAAGTCTTATTTAAATTTTATAAAATTTTTACTGTCTAACTCTCCAATTTGAGCATAGACTCCAAATAAATTTATTTTAATTATGTGCATCCATATTCGAAAAATCGTGGCATTTCTATGTTCAGAATTTTAACTAGGTTCTGAATGTTTCTATAATTTTAGTTTAATATTCTCGACGTTACCATTAACTTATTTGTTTCCTTATATATCATAATCTGTTTTGGAATTTAAAATCAGCCCATGTTTTCAATTTCACATAAATAAATAAATTTTGTTTTCGCGTAATATTAAGTTTTTTTAAAAAAGATTTTTCTAATAATTTACAAATTTATATTTTGTCTTCCCACGCAGTTTAACCAACTTCTAATTTCTATTTTTTTTAAATAATAAAAAAAATTTTCCACCTAAAATTTTTTAACGAAGTCAGTTCGACGACATTTTTTTTAAATGGCGGAAAAAGTGTTTTTTTTACTATATTTGGATATTAATAATAATTAAAATAACTCCTTTTTTGTAATTATAATTTATTATAAAAAAATATTTCAAATATTTTGTATAAATTATTATTTAAAAGGGGTTTATATAATTATTATTATATCTTCATTATTTTACAAATAAGTGTGAATTAGCTCGGCGCCCATATTGATCTTTTTCTAAACCCGATTTTTAAATAGATATTTTAAAACATTAATCTGTATACGATTGAATCGATTTTTTTAAAAATAATATGGTTTAGATATCTATATTAATTATTTAAAATAAGATGTACTTGATGGAGTTTGTTGAGAACGCGAACCAATTCGATCCTCATGATTTTGTGCTTATAAAATAATGAAAATTAATTACTAGTATATAGCTCAAATTCTAATTTATATCTGAATTGTTTTAAAGATTATTTTTTTTTAAATTTTTGTATATTGCCACACCATTTTTAGCTTATAATGGATATTGGTTAGAGATAATTGAATCCAATATATAGCATTATAAATGATAAATCAAAATATAATATTTTTATATACAAAAGTTTTCAAACCGGTTTTTAGAGGTTCGAACCTAATCTATTTTTTTACGAGCACTTGAAACTTAAACCGTTATTTTTATCCGAACCAGGATCCCTGCTTGTTATTTTAATACTATTTATAATACAATTATAAGCATACTTACGAAAAAAAGACAATTTTATATTTTATAACAATATTTAATATACAGCACCCTGCCGAGACTTTTGGCGACTTGGGTCAAAAAATAATTTGGCGGCTCCTAAAAAAACACAATTTGCCTAAGCTTATTTGATAACTTTTCGCAATTAGAACTAAATGCATAATCATAAATGAGTATGTGTAAAAAATATAAAAAAGTTAATAAATCGAATTTAAAAATTATTGCGATTATATAAAAACAATAAGCATGATTTTTGTCGAATGTAGATGATATAATAGCTAATATAGGGACTAAAAAATATAATAATGAATATATTATAATGACTTATCAATATCATATCAAAAGTATCACAAAGTGAATAATTGTGAAACATAAATAAGAGTAGTCCAGTTTATCTGGCTTTAAATGAGTCCTTTTCTCTAAGACCTTACAAGCAGCTGAAAACGTTCTTTCACTGCTAGCCGACGAAGTAAGGATAGCTAGGAATTTACGAGCCAAAATACTTAAATTTGGAAAGTCATTATGGTTTGTCTTCCACCAACTTAAAATATTCATCTTAATATAATTTAACATCTAGATATTTTTGAAGTTCGTCAATTTCAATGCTAGCATCAGAAAACGCATTGTCAGTCTATAGAGAGAAATCCAAAAACGTATCTGCCTCAGTATTTTCTTAAGGAAAAAAAATATTCATCTAAATAATCAAAACATTCGTTTTCCTATCTTCTTAATGTATTTAAAATTTAAGGACTAGCTGACGGGGTTGAAGGATAATTATTTAGTTTGTGTGTATGGTACTAAATATACTTTATTAATAAATTTTATATAAATATTAAAATTTAGGAGAAAAAGAGGTAAAATTATTGCAATGTATACCGTGAGCATGTATTAGAAATATCAAAATTTAAATTTGTGATGGAAATCATAATGGATAAAATTTTAAATTGAATTTTAAATATGGTTATACATTAGCCTGAAAATTATTTTTTGCAAACATAGCAAGGCCTGATCAAAAAACCAAGTCCCATGCAACTTTCATAAAATTTTGCCATTTATTTTTATTGTAATTTAATAAAAATATCTTAAATTTAATTTTATATTTAGAATAAAATTTAGATTTGTGATAGAAATCATATTGGGTAAAATATAAAATAGAAATGCTTGAAAAATTTTTAATTTTAAATATGGGCTAGACATTAGCCTGAAAATTTTTTTTTGCAGAAATCGCCAGGCCTAATTAAAAAACCAAGCTTATGCAACTTTCATATTCTGATTTTATTTTTAAATGAATTATGACTTTTATATATTTTATTTCAGTTATCAACTAACAAAATTATTATGATCTTTGGCGGGCTTGAGAAAAATTTCCCAACAATATGGTTTTCAGAGATTTACCTATCTCCAGGTTTGGGAAAAAATTACAAAATTATTATGGGTTGGCCAGGTCTGATAAAAAAAAATCAGGTCAATGTCTGGTCCATATTTAAAATTAAAAAATTTTCAAGCATATCTATTTTAAATTTTACCCAATATGATTTCTATCACAAATTTAAATTTTATTCTAAATGTAAAATTAAATTAAAGATATTTTATTAAATTACAATAGAAATAAATGGAATATAAAATTAAATTTAAGACATTGTTATTAAATTACAATAGAAATAAATGGCAAAATTTTATGAATGCATGGGACTTGGTTTTTTGATCAAGCCTGGCTATGTCTGCAAAAAAAATTTGAGGACAATGTCTACCCCATATTTAAAATTAAAAAATTTCCAAGCATCTCTATTTTAAATTTTATTCAATATTCTATCACAAATTTTATTCTAAATATAAAATTAAATTTAAGACATTATTATTAAATTACAATAGAAATAAATGGCAAAATTTTGGGAAAGTTGCATGGGACGTGGTTCTTTGATCAGGCCTAGCTTTGTCTGCAAAACAAAATTTTATCAATGTCTAGCCCATATTTAAAATTCAAAAATTTTGAAGCATCTCTATTTTTAATTTTACCTAATATGATTCCTATCACAAATTTAAATTTTGATATTTCTAATACCCTTAATGCTCACGTGCAACAATTTTATCTCTTTTTCTCCTAAATTTTAATATAAAGCATATTTAGTACCATATACACAAACTAACTAATTACCCCTCAACTTCGTCATTCTTGACGGGTTATTATCTAGTAATATAATAATTTTAAAAGATAGATATTTACTTTATTATTTTTTAATTCATAATTTAATTATTAATTTAATGAACCTTTATTCACTACTCCATCAGTTAAGTAGGACCTATGTGGTGAGTTAATATTTTTTAGATTTTTGCCCAATCATTCTATTGATCTTCTCGGCACTAATCAACATGTTACTATGCTGGCACAAATATTTATAATGTTTTCGGGATAACATTTTCATATCCCTAAATTTTTGGCACAAAAATGTCAAAATTTGGTGGAATAAATTTATTCACCATTATTTCCTGACCTCTGCGATATATGGTTAAGCTGCAAGTTTAAGTTTGGATGAGCTAAAAACTCAATATTTTGTGATAACACTATATAACTTTGTGAAAGGTGGGTTTTAAATCACTTTCAATTTCATCACTCCCAATTTTAAAAGGCGTCAGAAACTTTATAAGATATCTCATCATTTCATAATATATTTTCGAGCCTAATCGTCTCTCCTCTAGTGAGAATCTTTAATATTTCATTCAATTGATTAAAAATCGATAAATCATCTTTAGTCTGCTATTCTATCCAGTCTCAATATACAAATTGAGCTAAGTTGATTAACTAATTTAAAATTTAAGGCTATATTTTAATAAAAAGTTGATTTAACATGCCCACTGTTTCATACAAGTAACTAAACATTGATATATCTCTGAATCTTGAAATTCAATATTTTATCAAAGGTATTCCTTAATACTGTATTTAAAAGATGAAAAGCACAATTCAAACGTTTATGATTTTCAAATGCTTTAATCATATTATCTCCTTGTCGGTAATGAATGGCTTAAAATAAATATGCCCTTATGTATCCTGATATAAAAAATACATTGATTTTTATAACCATTTTTAATGAAATCAATACCTAATAAGGTGGAATTTTTAATTATTTCACCCGTCTTTTTTTCTCCTTCAAACTTACATGTAAACAATACAACTATTAAGTTTCCAAGAATCGTTTAAGAAATGAAAAGTAAGCGTTACTTAGGATAATTTCTTATAATTGTTTGTCCAAAGGTCAGTGGTGGCTATAAATAATGTAACCATGTTTTCATATATTTGGTACCAGCACATCGACCATTTTTCATAGCGTTTTGAAATAATTTACTGCGTAAACCATCAGCAGTATCTATTAAATTTCTGGAAATTGTCGCGGGATTTGTAGCTTTTAACACAATATTTCCATATATTGAGCCAATTTTGGCAATAATCAACAAAGCTTTTCCTGTGTATTGTATCAAATGATCTTAAATCACGCCCTCAAAACATATTAAGCACATTTGTACAATTTAATTTGGAACAACTTTTGTGTTTTTTGGGATCAGTATCAAAAAGGCTATCAATATAATTGAATCTTTTTACTCTCTATTGTAATACACATTTGCCTTTTTAGTTAATTTATGCCAAAAATAATTAAATAATATCATATATTTAATGTATAAATATACTAACCTGTTAGGAATTATAAACTTATATATATTTGCAAAAATTACAAATCACATAAATAATTTTTTCTTTGTTTTCATCACATATAAACGAAAACTCTTTCCAGACCTCAGATAGAAGAACGCTTCAAAGAAACCTTGATATATTTCTCTATTATTTTCACATCATATGGAAATTGGTTTAAGTCCGAGTCATTTAATTTACTGGATAATATAAATATTTTGTAATATAAAATAGATCAGCATCTTAAAATATCAGAATTATTTTAAGTATTGGGTCAATGAGATATATTTCCTAATTTCATTTATAAATGCATCTAAAGATATAATAATTATTAAAGGCAACATAAACCAATGTTTGGAGATATTGATTTTTTTATATATAAAGTTCATACAAATTATCTTTGACCATAAATATAAAAACCAAGACCCTACTTTGTAACTATCGGGGCTTGAACCAGAGCCCCCTAACCTAAAAACATTTAACAATTTTTTAATATATCGTATTCTTAATTTTACTATCTGCCAAAATTCATGTTTAATATATTTAGTCTAAAATCCCTTTAAGGTTTTTTTAAAGTTTTATATTAATATCTAAGTTATTATATATTTCACGTAATTTAAATTCAATTGTGCGAATTGAAGCCTAAATGCATATCAATGGAAATTTTGGCGCTCTTTATCTTGCTAGGGTAGATGCTCAGAACAAAATTCAAATTATCTGTAAAAAACTAAGAACTCCTTCACTTCTAAAATTTTAAACCTGAACCGAACCTGGCTAAGATTAAAAAAGGTTTTAATCGTTGGTTATAAAACGTTTAACATCGAGATAGGAAGTCACAAAATAGACTCCAGAAGGTGCTTCCATTTTTTAAGGAAAATAAATACATGAAGATTTTGAAAATACAACGTGATTTTGATTTTATGTCATATATATAATATCCGAAAATTGTTTTTTTATTTCTTAAAAAAATTAACAAGGCTTATGAAATACCTGGACTAAAGGGTTTTGGAATCAAGGAATCGAAAGGCGAGAAAAGGGAATGGACTAAAGAACAAATGAAAGCCGGAGACACTGTACTAAGTCTGCAATACGGATCTAACAAAGGGGCCAATCAGAGGGGCATGAATTTTGGAAATACCCGCCATATATAAGTCCAACATGCAATCATAACCTATAAAAAAATTCCCGACTTTATTTGTCAGTTATTACTTTTATACGCAATCAAACAATTTATATAAATAAATAATTTAAATGAAATGAAATGACAAAAAATCTTTGGACAATCAATCATATTAATTTTCATTGATTTTGGTATGTTTTATATATACCTATTTTTAAAGCCTAAATTGTAACCACCTTTAATTAATCATTTATAATACTCTATATATTCTCGATAAAATGCAAGAAAATAATCTGCTTAAATTTTAAAGAAAATATGAATTTTTTTCATGGTAATTATCTATTCTTTTATGATGAAATGTTTCGAAGTTCTTTTAATGTTTATTAATCGACATTAAATTCTTTAATTTTATCCCTTAAAGAAAGTATTTTCTTTTATTTCAGGCAATAAATAAATATAGTATATTTATATATATATTTAATTAAGATAATTATGTTTTATAATGATTGTGTTGCAATAACTTTGATGTGTTAAATTATTAACATTTTATTATATAATTGTTATAAACAAATTTAATGTTTTTGATAATTTATTATAATTTCTATAAATAAATTATTATACAAAATTATAATGAACATATATTTAATTTATATAAATATTCAAAGAATTTGCAGAATCTTAACACATTTAAAAACTCTTTATAAAAAAATTATTATGAATAAGTTATTAAATATCGGGTAATTTCAACAAATTATCTGTTATATGTTTGCTCTCTTCTCTAAGCTTAGGTGTATTATAAACAATGGAAGAAACTTTATCCGTCCTTTCTTTGGCGTAGCTATCTTTACTCCTAATTTTAGGCGTTTTGTTACCGCTATAAATCTTGAGGCTATTAATTCGCAGTTTATTGGAGGAAACTAGTTTATAAGCTGCGGGTGATAGATTTTTAAACCTGCTTTCCAGATTATAGGCTTTCATACTAGGTGTGCTTATTTTTGAGAATGGTGAATTGATTCCGTGGGGCGTGAAAATTCTAGATTGGTGTTTGAGATATTTCAGCTTTTCTTCTTTGGATCGTTTCGTCATTTTTTCAGTCATTTTCAAGGCTAGCTTTTCTTTGGGGGTTATATCTTAAAATTTTTCCCAGAGTGAAAATAATATTATATAATGCATGTTGATATAAAATCAATATATATTTTTTAATATTTATAACGATACATAAAAATTGTGTTATATATAGTATATAGTATTTAAGATAAATAAAAGCTATTTGGAAAATGGCTAGTTAACTTTAAGATTTTAGGAAAAATTATATTTTAAAACAAAAGAAATATCTGTGAAATCACCCAATGTTTTTAATATCCCTTTTTTAAATAAATCTTGTTATGATAGTCGTATATTTTTTTACTAAAGCATTGTAGCTCTAGCTTAAACCAATCCAAAGACATTGGCCTTGATTCTTGAAAATGTATTAATTTTTTCAATAGCTATTGATCTTTATATAAAATCAGGAATTAAAAAATATTTTTGATCCCCAAATTCATTTAGCGGAGAGTCGCCTGGATTTGTCGAGGTTAAGGCAGAATTATTATTTCGAGGCTATTTATAAAAATTTATTTGATAAAAATAATTAGGTTAAAAAATCAATTGTCTTTATCCATTTTATTCATATACCAATAGAATTTCGGTTAATTTTACTCCAAATCTCTAGTTCATTGAGGTATTTAAGAAGATAAAGAGGGAGAGAGGGAGTGTGAGCATTTGACCACAAATCCCTTCCCCTCCTCCGAAGTATTTTTATTATTGATAAATGAGACTAAATATGTTTAGTGAATCAAACCTTTAAAATCAAAAGTAAAAACATCAAACATCAAAAAAGAACAAAATTAATGTGTTTTAAAAGTCTTATTTTGTAATACCTTCTATGTATAATTTGATTTTTCTAAAACATCCATTTGGATCTGACGCATCAAAATAATGAATACTGGAATCTATTATAATTAGTGACTCATATCGGACCTTATTTTCAATCATGGCCCTATTTTTTAAAAAAAATTGTCCGGCTCACCCGAATAAATTTTACTTGTCCTAAAAAGAACGACCCGAAATAAAAATCATTTGTCCGCCCGACCCGAATTTCTCTAAATATATAAAATGAACTCTTTTTTCAATATAATTTTACATTTTTACAATCATTCTACAAACAAATAAATAATATTGACCCTTGTTTCTTACAAAAACAAAATATAACCATTTTCAAAATTTAAGCCCAACCTGAACCAATTTATTTAAATATTAGTCCCAAATCCATAAACCGATTTTTTTTAAAAAAAAGAGCCTAGCCTGGGTCTTCTTTTGCAAATCTCTATTTACAATTATTCTTAGCTATTGTGCTCTCTAAATTCCATTTTTAAAATATAAAATTAAAAAACGATTCTTTTATTTAAATTTAAAGGTAATTTTATTTTACTAGAAACAACATTCCACTGAAGATTATCAGGAATATTTTTATGGGCTACGAATGATATAGTATAATTTGTGACTCTAGAATAAATATCAAATAATTTAAAATTTTAAAAGCCAATGTCTAAGGAGCTAGCGTTTTAATAAAATTTACCCATATATAAACTGTTATATTAGGATTCTTTCATTTTGTAAAAGAATGACCTAAAATCTGGTTAGTCATGGGATGACCTGGAAGACATAAGGTATGGTATAATATATAAAACTTTTAACTACTTACCAGGCATCGAAAACCCGCGAATAGGCATAATACCGGCAATGGAAGGGAAAGCTTTGGCCAAAAAGTCATCCCTATCCATCCTATCCTGAATCAATGGTGTTTGCGCAATGTTACCCCAAGTCATAAGAGGTGTAGCATCTTGAGAGGCGGAGAGTTCGGGGGTTTGGGGTATAAGCTTATAGCAAGAACCAGTATTTGATGAGAGATTTTCGTCTAAGCGTAACATTAAATTTCTTCCTTCCAGAATGGGTTTGGCATTAATGGCGGAGGTAGATAGTATTTCTTTGCCGTCGGGACCTTGATAAAAGTATAAATAATATTAAAAATTAGGATTGAATTAGGCTTAAATAATAGTTGATGAAAAAAAAGATTAATTAATATAATTCTCAAGAGCATCAGAGTTGTTAAAGTACTGAGACTATAGTGCAGCGGAAGCGAAACGCGTTTCTTTTCTGGAAAGTAAAGAGTAAGGTAAGGAAAATTTTTTTTCTAGAACACAAACGCAAAAGTAATAAAATTATAGTAGGGCTATGTCGATATTACATATCGGATCTGCATCGATATTTAGCATTTTCAAAAATTATAGGATAGGGCCGATATTTTTTAATTTTATTGTTTTTGGTTATTTTATATAATAATAAATTAATGAAAGGACTAAAATACAATTTATTGTAACAATAAGAAAGAGATTTTAAAATATCTAACGAGTCACTAGTGTTGTTTCGATTTCGCCAATTTCTAAAAGGGTCAAAAGATTTTGGCAAAAAGTAAATTACTCAAGTTTATTGATTTTGCCAACAGATGGCAGAAAGGTTAGGAATTCTATTAGCGAAATTTCGAGGTTTACGTAATATTTTGGCTAAAATCTTAATTTAGCTTTCTGAAAATCGGCCAAATGAAGTGTCTAACAACACTACATTCATTTCATAAACACTGTAAAAATTTAAATGAGATTATTAACTTTTGGAGAAAATAAAAAATATACACTTAATCACTTGTTAAAGTTAGTTGGTTTTTATAAAAAAATTTGATATTTTTATGACAGAGGTTTAAAGATAGATGGTAAATAAAAATTAACATATAGTCGGATAGGATCGGTGAAATATTTGTGAATCGGCACAGCCCAAGATTTTATTTAAAACAATGTTATTAATACTATTTAAAAAATGTCATGAGTAATATGCTACACAAAAGAAAAACAAACCTATTTTCCCCACATGAATTCCATTAAATTGTCTAGTAACAACTCTTGCCAGAGATTTTCTATCTAATAAAGAACCACTTAATTGGCCATTATCACTTGGATCATTAGACAAGCGAATTTGTGGCAACATTCTGGTATTGGCAAACACCACTCTACTTTGAGAATAATTGTTTTCATTATTTTTATCTGGGATAGGGACCATAATGGAATTAGCACTACTATTATTATCATTTATTGGAGATTTATTTTCAATGGAAAACACATTTTTGGTACTTCCTTCTTCTATAGATAAGCCTTGATTTCTGTAAAACCATGGATATTTGATCATTTTAAGCTTTTTAGCCTTTTCTAAGAGCTCGGAAAATGAGGCATTATCCTCGCTCGTATACCGATTCAAAAAACTGGTTAAAGTATAAGCATTTATATGTATTTTTTGTTCAAGAACCTCTGAATCTGTTTTATAAATAAATAAATTAAATTTATATTTATATTTCTAATAAATTTTAATTTTGGAATTGTATCAAATTTAATAGTATAAGTGATAACAGTAAAACGTTTAGTTTACAAAAATATACACACAAGAATTAGGTAGACGAACAAACATGAAGAATATATATTAAGCTTTATTAAAAACCATATTACAAAAGGAGTTCTAAATCTAGGAATCAGTTCTTTGACGAACTAAAAATTATATCAGAACCCATTTTTAATTTAATAGTCTTTATAAGATTTCATTTAGATTCAAAAAATAAAATATATGGAAATATATTTTGCAGTTGTCATTATATTTTACTGTAGATTTATTAAGGATGCATCGATATTTTTTATCATCGAGCCGATATTTCATATTTGTTATCGGCCAATATTATATAAATTTCCCGATCCGTTAGAATAAAACGGCATCTTAATTTGTTAAAAGTATATATAAGATGAGTAGATGTATGCATTAAAAATTAAAACGATTAATATATTTACAATCAGATGATATTGGATAGGTAATCGGCCGATATCAATTTAATATCGGATTGGTCTCCAAAAAGTGGTATATTTTTTCTTCTTATCAGAAATAACATTATGTAATGTAAAGAAGTCTTCATGCTGAAAATATCTCTTCATTTTATACAGGCTTACTTTATAGATATAAAAAATATTAATTGATAATATTAACCAAAATCATTTCAAATAAATAAATAACTTTTTATATAAAATGTTACAAAAATTTTACAGTTGGGGGATATCTAAAACCTACAGCCCTAGATTAGAAAAATATTATAACAAACAAGTAGACCCTTGTACATATTTTCTGTAATATATATATAGAATGTTGTCAAAGAATAAAATTAATTTATATATTGTAACTAACTTTTATTAAAAATCCAACAAAACAGAAAAATTGGATAAAATATAGAGCAAACAAAAATACCAAGGCTATGAACCAGAACCCAACCCCTTTTTTTAAATTTAGGGTTTGGAGTTATCAAAAATAAGATATATAAAACTATATTAAATTAAAATATAAAATAACATGTAAATTATTTAAAACATAAAGCATAATTTTTTTTATTTTCAATGTAAAAAGATTATTTGATGAAAATTATTTTGAGTGAAATCCTTTTTATTATATTTTAGAGTACTCCATTTTATGTAAATATTTTACCAGCATATTAAGTTACTTTCTTTTAATAGATAATTAGAAATATTTATTTTTGTTTATTAGATTATTAAATTAAATGTGAGACCAAAGAAAAAAAAACATGATTACTATGTAAAATAGTTTTATTAAATGCAAGTTGCAATGAACTGTCAAAGTTAGCCATAAAAAATCAAATTTTTTTTAAAATACAGTTTATAAAACTCTAAGTCTATTTTTCTTGACCACAATCCCTGAACCTGGTATAGATATATTTCACTGAACCAGAACCCAATCCCTTTTTTAGAACAAGGGTTCACAGCCTAAATATAGTTGGAGTAACATATCAACCACCACTTCCAAGACGATTCAAGGCTTGAGGGGGGGAAGATATTGTACAGAACCCATTCTCACAGTAAACAACGAACTGTTAATGGTTGAACAAAACATGCCTGATTGATGAGTCAACAAGGGATGAATACCAGCCATATGATTAACAATACAAAGGGAAATGGTGTTGAATACATGTATTATAAAGTTTTGGTATTAATTGTAAAATGATTAAATAATAATATAATAAAGGTTAAAAGAATTGTCAAATTATATTTAAACTAAATAACAATTGTGCTAAAGCAAAAGAGAAAAACGATTTAAAAAAAGGTTTATCTTATTAATTTGTAAATAAAATAATATAAAATATTGTTTGTATTAATTATATTATTACTAGAAGATAGCTCATCAAAAATGATGGGGAATGAGAATTTTCTTATTACTTTTATGATAGTTGTTACCTCTTATTTGAAAATATCATTCAATTATTATTCTTTTAATCCCTCCTCCCCCCCCCCATTTATGCCAGGTTTAATTCATTAAAACTTAGTGTAAATACTATGGTTTAAAATTAGATTTAAAGCTTTTACTTGATAATACCAATATTATTTGATAAATATTACTGATCATTTATACCTAATATTTAATATTAAAAAAAATTCCCAGGCAAAGTACAAAGCCATAATAATTTTGAAAAATTTTTCCAAGCTCAGTGAATATAATAATTTTGGTAGTTGAGAACTGAAATAAAATATATAAAAAGTCACAATGCATTTAAAAATAAAATCAGAATATGAAAGTTGCATGGGCCTTGGTATTTGATCAGGCCTGGCCATGTCTCCAACAGAAATTTTCAGGCCAATTTCTAACCCATATTTAAAATTAAAAAATTTTCAGGAATATAAGACTATATTAATTTAAAAAAATGTTTCCCAAGCTACTTCCAAGTCCATATTAATTGTGAAAAATATTTCCCAAACCTAGAAAAATAGGTGTGATGTAGGGGTTTATAAGAAATAAATCTGTCTAATATGTATATATTTTTTTTGCCATTTATATTATTGGGAAAATATTTCAAAATTAGGATCAAATGAAGGGGAAATATCTGATTTACCTATCATTCTACTGCTTAGCTCCTGCCTGGTATTTATATGAAAATCCTGAATATATATTAAAGTACCATGCTAAAAATATGTTCATTCTAATTTAAATTTTAAACAAACCACCACCCTTCCAAATGATTTATTACTTAGTTACGAAATATAAATTTAAGACATTGTTATTAAATTACAATAGAAAAAATAAAAAGATAGTTAACAAATAATAGGAGGTTAACTTTGATCATAGTCAAATTATATATAAGTTAAATAAAAAAGTTATACATTTAATCAAAAATGTTATAAGTTATGAAAAATATACATCCTACAATTAAATTATGAAGTTATGAGAAAATAAACAAAACTATGGAATGCATGTAGAAAGGCCAATTTCAAAAAAGATAAGAGAGATGCAAATATTTACTTATGCATAAAAATTACCTAATTAAAAGATATAAAGTTGTATAAAATTCAATGTGGAATGGATCCTTCTTAAGGGTTATAACATAAAACTCTCATCTGCAAGAATAAATTTTTAAATTATAATATACAAATGAATAAAAATTTATTTTAAAAGACTTTTTAATTGTACACATAAATTAAAATTACTAAATATATACTTTATTAACATATTTTATAAAAATAATGGAAAATTTTAGAATAACCCTAAATAAATATAAATTTTCAAATAACACCTCATAAGATAGGAAAATTTCTGATTCATCCCTCATCAAATAAAAGAGAAAATTCTGATTAAATTTTAAATTTTACATAAATTCAAGAATTAAAAAAGTATTTAAATAAATCTTGTACTCTTTGAATCGTATATATTTGATTAATTTTGTCAGATTAAGAAAAAAAAATATTTTACCAGATTAAGAAAAAAAACATTTGGCGAGATTCGAACCCAAGTCCAATAATCCATCTAAATTTGTAAGTTTCTTGCCCGATTGGGCCAAAGGCACTATTCAAAATTAACGATTTTTTGAATATATATTATAAAGTGAGACATAAAAAGTGTGACATGAGAGCGTAACGCTATTTTTGTGACAAGGCTTTTATATATATTAGAGATATTAAAGTTTTTTGTTTTATGTAACAAAGAATTAAAATTCATTTTTTCTTGGATAATTAAAAAAGTTTTTTTTATGTGATTTTAAATAAAAGTTAATTAACAACATATAAATTCCTTATATTCTTATTTGACAACCTTTCCTATATATTATATTTTCTTTCCATAAATTTATTTTTTTTGCATTTGGGCAAAGATTAACTAATTATTTTATGTAATTTGGTCAAATCTAAAATGTTGATTATGGCAAATAAGGCACTTAATTTAGTTTCTGGGATAAAATAAAATTATTGAATGACAATCGTAACACAATAAACCCAAATGAAAATGATGAATTACTAGATTCATCTAGTAATGAATTTGAATTATTATAATTAAAAACATAAATGTATGAATCAAATCAATGTCAGTAAAAAAATGACAAGGAGCAAGTTAAACAATTTTTTATCTATTATGAATGTAAGGAAGATATTTTCAAATTTTGGGGAAAAATAAAATGAATTTTAAAATATCGCTTGTTGTAATTACATTATTTTGATTTATACTTATTTAAAATCTTGTACATATAAATTTAAATATTATAGGAAAATAGTTTTTTTTATATATAAAATTGAATATTTAGAGTTCATGTAAAATTTGAATATGTATATTCTTAATAATACAAGTATTATATTATAGAAAGAAAAGATATTTGGTCCCTTATCTCACAATCCAAATTCTCCTAGCTGCATCACTTATCTCCAAGGAATGATTATTATTACTATGAGAGGGGAGGGGGAAAAAAGATTATGAATAGAAATGAGAAGGGTAGGAGTGTAATTTAATTTTTATTTATAGAAGTGGGAAATAAAATTTAGAGGTGGGTGGGTAAAATTTTATAATAAAGCAAATCTTGACAAAAATTTTTAATTAAAATAGCCAAATAATTTTTTTTAATTTAAAACCCATAGTTTTTTTTATTGATTATTTTATATTGTAGTTTAGAAAATTTCTAATAAAAAAAAAATTAAATAGATTTCCTAATACATTTAAAATATCTTATTAATGTTATAAAATAAAATATTTAACAAAAAAAAAGAGGAAACATGAATTAATTATAAACCTTTATTAGTATCTTCAATTTGATTGCTTATAATACTGTCTGTGAATGGTACATACTCAGAATTTATGCTTCTTGTTGAATAATCAGTTTTTACATCATGGGTTGATTTATGAGTAGAAGTGAGATTATCTGTTAAGCCCAACATAGATATATTGTTAGTAAAATTTGATTTTTGAGAAGCTGCCATTTTGTCTTTCATAAAAAGTTTCCTATATTTTTTAATTTCTGGAAAGTAGTCTCTTTCAATTATTTGGTCTAAATGCTCTAAATATATATCTTCCTCTAGAATTTTCATATTTATAATCTTATCGTCTGTTTTAACGCTAGAAACTTGTAGTGATTTGCATGTTTCATCATTGTTAATGGATGTATTTGATTTCAACTGTGTTAAGATACTATTTTTGTATGAGACCGATTTATCATTCATATTGTTCAAATCGGGATGTTAAAGGATTTGTAGATTTGACAGGTCACCTGATAGACATATTTTATATTAAGTTTTAAAGGATAATAAAGTATGTATATTCTTCATCTGCTACAAAAATAATTTTGTATTCGTATTTAATGATGAAAAATAACAAGAGTCAGATCCTAAATAAACCAATGAAGTTTATCAAAATATTTGTTATTTATTTTCTAAATATACTATGTATTTGATTTAATTTTTATTTTTGATTCTGTTAAAATATTTAACTTAAACTTTATTATTTCTTACAATTTTATCTTTGTATTAATTATTCTAATTTTACGTGGTGATTCGAAATAATTTTTGTATTTAGCAACTGTATTTTTCTTAAATTATTTACCTTTTCTTTAGTTTTAAAAATAAACATTCATATATCATCATTTCATTTCTTTATTACACATATATATGGGGAGTAATATGATTGAGATAAATAAAAAAAAATATATTATAAAATTTTACTTTAGTTGCCTTACTTTACCTGATACGTGATAAAAGCGTTTTCGCCATCTGGTTGTGGATACAACAGAGCTACGCTATGTTTTCCTCAAAAATATCAAACTGGATAGTTAATTAGGGGAGAAAAATGAGGAGCCCTTCACACGTTTGTGGGCAAGCCGCACGTACTTGTAAGCGCAACAATCCGAGAACTGTTGCTTAAACGTCTACAGGCTAAGAAACAAAAAGAAATGGACAAAACAAAAGCCTATACCCAAGAACTGCAAAAATAATTTAATTACTTTAAGGGTGGGTGATGGCTAATTTTATTAACATCTAATGTAAGACTTGATAATTACTATCAATAATTGAGAATGTGTTCATATCAATTGAAATTAGAATTTATCCATGAAAATAAGAAAAAGCTAATGGGTTTACCGCAAATTGTTTAAATAGATAAAAATTCCAGTGAATAGGCAAAACTAGTCAGTAATATGTTTATGACTATCCAGCAACGAACACCACACAACAAAGGTTTTTTTTTCTTTTTTCAGAGAAACAAAATACTCTATGGAGTGATAGATAGATTATATAAAGAAAAGGGTCTTTGATATTGATAAAGATATGAGAGAAAGGAACTACGACGCAGAAATAGGAACCAGCTCCGTGAGTTTTAGGAAATAGAAAAGTAATTTTTGGCCAGGATTAACAAAAGGCATTATGGCTTGATTGTTATATGATAGTCTATCACTCAAGGAAAGACTCTACCAACAAACATGATTACAAACCTCGCTACCCTCCTGTCGACTGGTTTCTCCATAAATGAAATAACAAGTGGTCAAAGACTAAGGGAAAAACAAAGCTCCGGGGCTAGATAATATCACAGCAGAAAAACCATAAATACCACCTATCGCTACCTATTAGCCCTCTTTCAATAAAATATGGGAGAGTGGAACTACTGCAGTGGGATGGAACAAATCCTACCTAAGTAACTACCCACAAAACTAAGACCACAGAAATTAAAGGGTTACTATGCTATGGCCATCACATCCTGTAGCATGGAAATTTTTTTTTAACTTTTATGGTGGTACACCTCTTATGTCACGTGTTAGCAAAATTTATATTATAAACACGTAAAATATATATTTATATATAACATTTATTAAATCATTAAATTAACCAATTAACATAATTATTTAAATATAAATATTGCAAATTTATAAGTTATGATAGATAGAATAATTGAGAAGATCAAGATATCCAGCGTCTACATGACAAGATTTTTAATGGATGCAAACCCCCTTCAAAAACCTTTGCCTACCCCCCCCCCCTAAAAAATTATTGCCGCCGCGGCGGTGTCTCTTTATTATTATTTTTACCTATTTATTTATTGATACTCTTTTCAAAGAATTTATAAAGGATAACTTAAATTGATCTATCTTTACTACCAACTATCGATATTTTATGAATATAAATAATTTATTTTATAGATAATAAATTCAATTAAAACCTCCATTATTTACAATGAATTTATTAATATGGCATTATGAGCTTGCTGAAATATCTAAACCTTTTAAATGTAATTTAAAAGGATAATAAATTTGGAAAACAATGTGTATGATTGTTTGCAATATATAGATTTGGTCGATGAATTGTATTATAATAATACTATAATAAAAGTATTAATTTTTACAGCAATAAATTTTGTCCTATTTCATCTCAAAATTTAATAGATACCCCCCCCCCCCTCCCCAAATTTTTTTTTTATCCTACCCCCATTAAAGCAGCTTACCCCATACTCCCTCAAAAAAAATAGGATTCAGACTGTTCCTACCCCTCCCGCTCATGTAGACGCTGAAGATATCTACCATTAATAATGATTGCAAAAATATTGTATAAGAGATAATATGACATTAGAAGAAATTTTTAATACAGGATAGGGCATGATATAGACTAGTTTTTTGATAAAATAATAGCAAAAATGAATAAAATACTTTAAAATGAAAGTCTAGAAGCTGAATAGGCGGCAAAAAGACAGAGAGAAAAAGAAAAAGTTGGAGGATGAAAAATTGATATAAGTTAAACAGATAGTACAATACAGTGGCGTAGCCAAGATTGATCCATGGGGGGGGAGGGGGGTTCCAAAACCCCCTTATCAAAATTTGCCAATATTTTGTGTATTATACCCAGGCCAGCATAAATATTAAAAAATATTAGAATTAAAATTTTTGCCAAATTTATAATTAATAAGCGACTGAAAGCATTATTTTGAAAATGTTATCAATGTTTAGTAAATTGTATATTAATTCAATCTATTCGATGTAAAAAAAACTTGCCTCCCCCCAAACTTTCCAATTTTATGATCAATTCAATATATCTTATTCTATGTTAAAAATAATTATCTTAAATAAATTTTTGCATATAACAAAATTTTGCAGAGATTTTATTTACTATTAACTTTATTTATTTAACTATGTATTTATTTTAATAATATATAAAAAAATAAATTTCAAAATATATAAATTTTATACAGATTATTATATTAAAAATTGAATGTAAATAACTATATTTTAAAAAAATAAAATTGCAATAAAATATGTAATTCTTGCTAAAAAAAATACAATTAAACAATTTTATTTAGTATAAACCCTTTATTTAACTATGTGTTTATTTTATATACAAAAAACAAATTTCAAAATTAATACAGATTACTATTTTAAAAATTGATTGTAAATATCTATATTTTAAAAAAATAAAATTACAATAAAATATAAGTAATTCATGTATGCAATTTAAAAAAAATATAATTTAACAGTTATATTTAATACAAATGAGTATATTATATAAATAATTCTTATTGTAGGTGCAATACTATTATTAAATATAGTATAAAAATATCATGACTAAAAATTCATTATAATTAAGTTTTACATATAAAAATTTTATGACTAAGAAAATATTACAATTATATGATTTGAATTTATAAAGAGAGGTCTACTTTTCTCTGAGATTTGCTAATTCATCTAGAATCAAATTTTTATCTAGAATAATCTCCTTATAAATATTTAATAGGGCTAATCCATTTAAACGGTTTTCACCGGTGCTATTTCTTAAATAGGTTTTTAACCTTTTCAAAGTTGAAAAAGACCTTTCATTAGTGCAGGTACTAATCGGTAAAGTAGCTAAAATAAAAAACAATGTTTTGATATTGGGCAGGGAATCTAAAGTGCAATAACACATGGAAAGGGCCTGCAAAGCATTTTTTGGTCTCAAAGAGTACTCTATTCTGCCAAGATTTTTATACCAAAATTCGACATCACAAAGTAACTAATCATACGACCCTAATATATCATCAGAATAAAACTCTGAGATGTTCTTAATATCCTCTCGCGTTTCAAGTGTAATCAACAATTCAGACTCAACCGGCAAAAGAAAATATAAGCTTTTTAAAATAAAATTGTGACTTATAAATCTTTCCTTTAATTGAAATAAAAATGTATCAATAAGTGGAATAAAAATGTTAATTTTATAAAAATCCTCAATCGTAGATGCATCAATATTTGAGCGATTGGATTGTCTAGAAACTACTCTAGGTTTAAAAATTTCAATCCCAAACATATTAGCGATCTCCTTTACTTTCTCATATATTTCGTGAAATTTTTCATCCACATTATCTCTGATATTTGTTGATATTTCAACAATATCCTTTGCCCTATTCATAACCTCTCTTAAATCCAAATCAATTTTTTGTAACATTTTGCTAAAATCATATGTATAATTAAATAAAAAATAAACACATTGAATTGAAATTAAAAATTGAGGCTTCGTAATAGCCTGTAAAAGATTTTCCGCATCTGCGGAATCTTTTTCTTTGCGTAATATGTATGATTCCAGTGCCGCAAAAATAACCTCATATAACTCGATGAAAACCTTTACCGATTGTTGTCTTTCAATGAATCTTGTGGGACAAAATCTTTTTAATTTTTTTTTAAATTTTTTGAATCTGTCTATGCCACTGGTACAATACGATGATAACATTAGACAACGTAAGGATATGACAACAACTACAATCAATAATATGCGCAATAAATAGTTACAGGCAACTATACCTACAAAAATACGAATCGAATAATAGAATTATTCGTATACGTTTAAATCGAATAATTTATTATTCGTATTCGTATGAATAATAAAATGATTATTCGATTCGATTCGAAAATTTTATTTACCACGAATTAAAAAAAATCTATTATAAAATTTATTTTGTAAAATTTAACTAAGGATAAAGACAAACAAATTTTATTAGTGAGACAAAATAGAAGCATACATATATAATATATTTATATACAATGTGGAAAAATCAATATAATATTCATATCTATAATGTAGATAAATCTGACAACAGCCAATTTTTCAAACATAAAGTTTTTCGGATTGTTTCCTCCTTTAACGACATTCTGTATTTTGTAACCATATGAGCTCCAACAGAAAAGAGTCGCTCACATGGGGTTGAAGATCCCTGTATCGACAATATGTCCCTCGCCATTTTAGATAACACGGCATTAGCAATATTTTACAAATAAAGTGGTAAAAACTTTAGGCAAAAAGTCAAATTTATGATTTCTCCATCATCAAATGAAAGAGTAATATCAGGTTTGCCCGTCATTCTTGATGTGATGGGATTAACTTGTATATGTTATGTGTTATATAAATTACCTTCTTCGTCCATCTCTATCATAAAAGAAATTTCTAAAGTAATGGTCTATTATGAGATAAATTAAAATGGAGTTTCAAAATTTGGCGCAATTTTCATTATTCCACTTGGAGATTTTATTAAATTGAAATAATTTCAAATAATTCCTAATAATAATATATGATTTATATATGATCATTTTCCAATATATATTAATACTATAAATTATTTTAGTCGAATAATCTCGAATAATTCGATCGAATAATAGATAAAAAATTTTTCGACGAATAATATATTTTCCTTATTCAAATTCGATTCGAATTTTCGAATCGAATAATTGTGTTATTCGTATTCGTAAAATACGAATCGAATCGAATTGAATCGAATATCGAATAACAAATAATTCGTTTTAGGTATACAGGCAACGTTGGATATCCGTCCACGGATAAAAATCTAAGATTTAATAAACAAGATAATCACTTAGGGTTTTTTTACAGTGATTTCTGTTTAGACTTTGGGGGTTTTCGAGTTTTACTTCTAATGGGTAATTGGTGGTTTTTGTTCATTGCAAAATATTTTATAATTTTTTTTTGCCTTTTTTCTTTATGGTAATATTTTATTTATATTTCCCAAACTTAAAAAAAACAACACTGAAAAAACTAGCAATTTTAGAAGAAAGAAAAATAATGTTTTTATTTCATTTTGTTTTTTACTCTTTATCTATTATTAAATAAATATAAATGTATTATAAGTTATTAATAATTTAAAATATATAAAATATTAAACAATTATTATATTTTTTTTTTCTTTTACAAGCAATAATAATATAATAAAAAATGATTATGCAAGATAATCAAAAAATATTCAAATTGACAAAATTACAATTAAAACAAATAAATACAACGCCAAATATAAGCATGACAAACGAATTTAGTATATAAAAACCCGAAATTTTCATCACGCCCCCATTAATTGAAATCTAAGTATCACACTCCCATCTCCCCCACTGGTCCTTGCCTTCGTTTTCATTCTATAAGACGGTTACTTACTCCGACCGCTTCCCATAGTTATAGTTCCTTCCCGGGTTTGAATTTCATCACTAAAATTATTATCGTTGGTTCATTAGTTCAATAAGTTTCCTCATTCTCGTCCTGCCGATTTTTTTTGCTCCTAAAGTATCGATTGCGTCGGAGTCAAGATTAACCATATTCCATAGCTCCATAGTTTGCACTAGTGTTAAATACCACCATATCCAGGATTCACAACTGGTCTCAGTGTTGAATAACCTCTCTTCCATCTGATAATTTTACCCTACTCAGTTTTATATTTTCTACAATCATTCCGTACTCCGACTTTTTTTTATTTCCAAATATTCTAGCCCATACTGTCTACCCTGCAAGAAATTCAGAATCTACCTTTGTCTCGGTCGGCCCCTCTCTATTCACAGTTGCTCTAAGACAATACAACTAAATCCTCGTCCATCTTCTTAAAAACTTCTCTGCCGACAATAGTTCCAATCCCTTTTAACTGTTATTGTAATATGCTACTGCCACATCTTTCCGCCCCATCTTTTGATTATCTCAACCAGTTCTTGACCACTGCTACCATCTGCTCCTCCTGACCATTGGAACTCAGGTTCCCGCCGGAACAATCATTCTGGCTACTCCGAACCGAGCCATTAATTCTTTAACATTTTTATCACCACCTGAGTTGTTTATCCCTTACCTCTTCGTGCTTCACCCACTTTCAATAAGCATTCACTACGATATATGTATCTTATTTTCGAAATCAAAGAAATCGATATGTATACGTTCCTAAGGCTAAATTGCTTTCGGCCAAACACTTTTCTTGTTTTTAGGATAGCGAAGCCTAGGAATTACATTTATATTCGGCTGATATTTTCTATCTCTTTATTCATTCCTGACCCTACATATTCATGACCCCACTGTTTTATCGCTCCACTCCTTAATGTCAGGCATGTATCAATGCTATCATGGCTTCCCTTAACTTGAACGGTATAACACTCCGACCAACTAGCACTCGACATTCATCTATAATTGCCACCTCCTTTAAAAGTTTTATCACCAACCTCCTTTGAATTTTATCTCCATCTATGCTTTCCGTCACTTTATGTAGTCTTTAATTCAGCATAATTCACGATCTTTTAAGGTAGTCTTTCTCTTTTAAATTTACTAGCCTATCTTTGGATATCCCAGCTATCTTCTAATACTTGCTTCCTTTTTTCATCCCATTCTGCGTGTTCTTTCTCCCCGAAATCTTCTCCAGTTCCACATCTAGATAAAATGTCTGGTAAATATTTTTTTCCCCTCGTCGATATTTTACTAGTATGTCAAACTGTCCACTAGCAGTAATCATATTTGTAACCGGCCGATAGCATTAATTCTTTGTTATTCTTTTTGAATATATGTACGAGCGGTATATGATCCGTATAAATAAAAACCTGCGCCCTACCAGATATTCTTGGCATTTTGTTAATCCAAAAAGACACACAGCTTTAATGTAAGCTTATTTAATTGAAACGTTCGACACACAGCTTATCTATTACAACGATTAACTAACTATATACATCTTTTACTAACTATTTAATTGAATCGCCCGACATCTAGCTTACCTAATATAACGCCCAATCAACTATTTATTGAAACTTCGGCATGGCTTATCTAATACAACGCTGAACTAGCTTTTTAACTGAAAAATTGACACACGGCTTGTCTAATAACAACACTTTGCTAACTATTTAATTGAAGAATCAGACACACAGCTTGTCTAATACAGACTAACTATTTAATTAAAACGTTGGGCACACGACTTATCTAATACAACGCTTAACTAACTATTTTAATGAAACTTCCAACACATGGCTAAACTAATCAATTGAAACTATAACTTTTAATTAAATTTGAAATGTCTTTGACCACCACTATTTTAAAAAAGGTTCGGTTTTTTTTTTTTGGTGATTTCTGTTACAAAATAAATAAGCTTATAAATTTTTAATAATTTAAAATAAAAAAATATACTAAACAATTTAATTCTTTTATAAGAATGATTATGCAAGATGATCAAAAAATATTCATCACCCAAAATAAATGAATGAATTGGCAAAATTACTATTAAAACAAATAATATACCACTCCAAATATAAGCATGACAAATGAAATTGGTATTTAAAAAATATAGAAATCTAAATCAATTACAATTATGATAGGCTCGACAGTGTAACAGATGCTATTATTATAATTATCCGTGATTTAATAATAAATTTAAATAGCTATAAATATTATGATTAATAAAAAACTTGGCAATGAAAACAATAGATAATAATACAGGCTATGGAATGACTCGAGATATAATCAAAGATTTAACGATAATGGGGGACCAAATTAAAATTTCATAGATTATAATAGTCCTAACACAAGACAATACAATTGTTGTATTCGAGACCAAGCAAACGGGCTGTTTGAAGGGTAGATATGGGGAGTAACAACTACCGTTGATGGTCTGGAAATTTCTGGAGTCTGGGTTGGGGGACTTGGTTTTGTCGAAATCTTAGTCATTAGCCACATCTTTAAATTCGGTTACCTTTATTTTGCAAGTATATACAATATTTGAGAACAAAGACAAGTGATAAGTGGGGTTTTTCTTCTAATTTATTTTAAAGGACGGTACAAGGCCACACCCCATTAAAAGTGTGAATTAGTATAAGACAGGATTAAGATAGTGAATCCTTTTTAATTAATTCCAAACAACTAAATTTATTATTCAATTTACAATTTTCAGTGAGTATAATAATTTATTATCAAAATAAGAAAATAAAATAATGGTGTCCGATTTCGTTTTTCAAGGCCTATTTATTCAAAAGGAATCATATAATCAAACAAAATAAAATTCACTTCAAGTGATGTCGTATTAATAATATCACGAGGTAACCTAGATGGGGTTCGCCCATATCGATAAAAAACATCAAAACAAATTATCTGTGCTTTTGGAATTTGTACACAATGGACGAATAAGAAAAGGGCAAACAGAATGCCTAATTATATTTTTATAAAACAAAAAGTGGAAAAAACAAGAATAAAAAACAACATATTTTGTATAGACAAAATCTAAAATATTCTTCGAATTATAAAAAAAAGAGTAAATACAACAACTATAATAAGACTACAAAACAATAAAGATCGAAATCAAACAATTTTGTATATACAAAAAACTAAAATATTCTTCGAATTATATAAAAAAGGGTAGATACAACAACTATAATAACAGACTACAAAACATTAAATATAGAAATCAAACACGATATTCCAATAAGATTAACACCGTAAACATAGAAGAAATAAAGGCCCGCGATAACTATAAAGTTGAAAGGAACCAATACTACTTATTCAATGTAAATGTAAACAATAATGCTGACCAAGATGATACCGCTAATAATGCTTACAAAGTTACATTTAAAATCAATGACATATCAATTAGGATGCAGGTAAATACTGGTACTCGATTCACAATATTACCAATAAATATGGCAAATAAATTAGAAGTTATAAAACTAACAATGATAGAACAGCAATGAAAGTTGGCCATCGTCAATACGAAAGTAAAATTCAAATATTAGAAGCGTTTAAAATTTCACTATTAGAAAGAACTGGGTTAAAAACATTTGGGAGCATCTTAAAAAAATTGTGAATATGATAGAACTGCACAATAATGATATCATAAAATAATTAATAAGGGATTGTGAATCAAAACTAAATAACAAACTTATAATGACATCAAATATAAGATTGCACTTAAAACCAGATGCTAAACTTAAGAAAATACCTCCTAGAAGAATATCATATTTAAGAATCGATATAATAACAAAGAAACTACAGAAAAGGATATATGATAAAATTATTAAGCCTTTACAAGACGTAAAATGGGTCAGTCAGTTAACTCTTGTTTACAAAAATGAACGCCGATTTCAAAGACGTGAGAAATCCTACTATATAAAATTTTATTATTGCTTCTTTCGAGTGGCACATTCATTATCTTATTTTTGAATGTTATTTTTTTAAATTGTATTTTCATGTTTATTTTTTTTAAATACTAATAAAGAATTTGTTCTTTTATGATTGGTTTATTTTTTTACAGAAAGTTTATTTTATCATAAATTGATATTTTTAACAAATATTTTCATTATCATTTTTTAAAATGTCTAATTATTTCAACGACTTTATTATTCATTTAATCTAAATACCATATTAATTATATCACATTCAAATTCAATTCTCTTAATTCTTAGTCTAGGAATATTTTTTCTTATCGTGGAATAGCTATATTGTAAAATATATTCTAGGTTGAGCACATATTTTAATAATTTCGAGGTTGATATTTATAAAATATCCAATTGTAGTTATTTATGACGAGCAACAAATTCCTTATAGAGAATGTCTTAAGGTCAGATAGGCTGGGACTATATGGCAGGTGGATTATAAAGGAAAGTTTGTAACTTTTTCAACTGTAGGGCTAATTGTTTTAAATGTAGTCAAAAGATGTATTAATACTATCTATCATATGTTCATTTAATAGTGGGAGTTTCGCATTCTAAAGATATTAATCAAAAACTATTTTTAAACACTTTTTCACTAAATTTTGGGCAAAAGTACTCTTTTAAATTTTATGAGATTTATAGGATATATTTCTCAATGTCTAAGTTACATAATGATGTTTTTAGACTATCAAAAAAATTTACTATAGCCATTTGAGCTAATCTATATACCAGAGGCTATATGCCAAGGGGATAAAATGACAAATCTGTAAAGTAATAATTTCACAGGGAAAAGACTCCAGAAAATAATTAAATGAAGTTCTGCCTGAGGAATCTACCCCTACAGATTATATTTGTAGATCGTTCTAGAGACGAAACCATTTTAGGTAACGTTATTTCTAGTTAACAATACCCAAAGCGCTGATAGTCTCTGACATCTGATAAGTCTAGTCTATCACATCTAATATCGTGATGTCTATTTTTTTTTTTAAAAAAATTATTATTTATATCAATTACAATATATATGAATTTGTGCATATTTGACACCATACCCTGAAGGGCTTGTCATCCTACCCAGGGGGGGTTGAAAAATAGTAAAAAGAACGACTTTTACTTCATCTTAAATAAAAAGCTCAATTTTTTAAATATTTTATAGTCTAATGATGAGGTTATTCAATGACACAATTAGCTTAATTTTATTAAATAAATAAAATTTTATTGCAAAAGAACTAAATACCTGCCATATAATCCAGGTCTCCTCTATATGGTTATACCGATAAAAAATACAATAAAAATAAAATTTGCATGGGGTTAGTGCCCCATTTTATTTCATGGTCTTAATTATTAATCTCACATGAAATGTCTATATGGATTCTTATCTCATTAATTGCAAAGTGATATCGTGCTATAAATATAACCTTATTATACTGGTAATGTTCAGAGGATAAATGGATAATCTAAATATTAAGGGAGGAAACTGATAAGATAATTATAATGACCGTTATGAACCTATAAAATCGGAATCTTTTAACATGATTATGAAGCACAAGTAACATGAATGGTTACATCAAAAAATGAAAAATAAATTATTATAATCATCATTTTTTCTTAACAATCATCCAAAAATCAAAAATGAATATTAAAAAATAATAAAACTAAAATGAGCTAGAATATCAAAAAGGGATAAAAACATACTATTTATGCCTTTGACTCACAGATTTTATAGCTCATAAAATAATGAATGGACCTAAAAATTTGATTAAGATCCATATATCTATATTATATCAATATCACATATTTGAATGACAAGATTTTGATACTTAAAATTAACGTTTTATTTAAAGATATTCTTTGTTAGAAATATTTCATTTCATATTTGTATTATTCGTATTTGCTTTAGATAATTTTTTTCAAAATTCTTATTAATGTAAAATTCTTATTTGACACTGAATTATTCCATCAAGAATAATTATTTTAGTTTGTGAATTTATTAATATTTATTTATTATAAGTTCAACAAGTTAATAGGTCTATTGAATATATATTCGATATTTGATTCCAAGGTTAATAATATGAATAACAAATTATTTGATCCGATTCTGATTCGAAAAATAATTTAAATAAAATTTACTAATAATAAGTTCAAATTATTTATAACTAACTTTTTAAAATTTTCGTAATTTATTTTTGGAATTATTTTGATCCTTTTGCAAATATTCATAGATAATTTTTAAAATTATGGCCAATATCAATCAATTTTTTGATTATATTTAGAATTGTCTTCTTGATTAAATTTCCTATATTTTCTAAAATAAATATAAAATATTTATAAATGGTTAGGTCAGATGATGCAATCAAATATTTGTAAATGGCAAGATAAGGGCAATCAAAAAGAGATAAAATAATACGGGTAGCTAACTTTCAGGGTTGGGCAGTATCGCGGATATTTGTATCTAAAATAAAATTTTGGAAAGTATCTTGTATCCAGTATCTAAGATACATATTATTTAAAAGTATTTGTATCTTAGCCAACTTTGTATTCAAAAGATACAGATACTTTAAAAAAAATTTATATTGGTTAATTTAAATAGTATTAAAATTTAAAATGATATTGTTTTTAGATTTAAATGAAAAATTTAATCAAAATTTAGATATTTTAAGATAATTTTTGATATATGACGTTGGACGTCATATAGCAATTTGCTAACAATTAGAACTACCATATTTGAATCGTTTTATATCTGTCTATTTTAATATAGAAGAAGAAAATAGAATAATATGTTTATCTTCGTCTTCAGATGATTCTTCAACTGAAAATTATAACAATAAATTTAAAAACTAAACATACTTAATGGCAAATTTTTTGAAGTACTTCAAGATGATCATAATTAAGAAATTTATCGTGACTTTGGTATTGACGAAAAAGTTATAGCAACTGTTACAGATAACGGCTCTTACTTTAAGAAAGCTTTCAAGGAGTTTGGATATTCTGTGGAAGCTGTAGAGAATGACTTTGACATCAATGATGATGAATGTATAGAATTCGAAATCATTGAAAGTATTATTTAATACTTCTTTAAAATTTATTATGATATTGTAAATTTAGTAAAAAAATTTTATTCAAATAAAATTATTTATTTGTTTATTTAAAGGTCTAAAGAAGCCTCAATAACATTGCCTCAACACATTCGTTGTTTGTGCCATACGATAAGTCTAATTTCCACAACAGATGTCGAGAGAGCTATTATCCTAACATTTCTAAAATTCACCATCCTGCAATTGCTAAATGTACTAAGCTATGGAATGAAAATAATAGGCCTATAACTGCAGAACTTATCAAAGCAGTTTTAGGAAAACAATTAGTTACACCTTGTTGCACTAGATGGAATAGTTTGTATGATAGTCTTCATAGTTTATAAATATGGAATGAAAATAATAGGCCTATAACTGCAGAACTTATCAAAGCAGTTTTAGGAAAACAATTAGTTACACCTTGTTGCACTAGATGGAATAGTTTGTATGATAGTCTTCATAGTTTATTAAAATTTAAAGGCGAACTTCCTAAATTATGTCAAAAATTAGAATTTCCTAAATTAAAAGATATTGAAATTCAATATTTAGAAGAATATTTCAATATAATGGCCCCATTGGCTATAGCGATTGACAAAATACAGAGTGAAATCAACTGCTATTATGAAGAATCAGCTCCAATTTTAAATATCGTTAAAAAAATTACAAATTTAATTCAAACCAATCTACAATTTTGCAAACCATTAGCTGTTGCCATAGAAAATTATTTGAATAAAAGATTTAAAAATATATATGATTTTGATAACAATTTTAAAAGTGCATTTTTGGCAACTATTTCTCATCCCTATTTTACAAATCGTTGGATTGATGGTGAAAAAGAAAAAAAATACCTTCAGGATTTGTTATTACATGAAATTTTAATTGTTTTTAAAAATGATATTGAAATTAATACTTCAAAAAAATCTTCAATTGATGGAGATGATGATTACTTTTGCCTTAAAAGTACCACATCCAATTCGAATAATTCAATAAATGATATTGAAATAGAGGTCCTAAATTATATGAAAGATGACAGGCGGAGTATAAATATGTTAAATAGTTATAAATATATAAAAGAAATATTTATTAAATATAACACAATATTACCCTCCTCAGCCCCCGTTGAAAGATTATTTAGCTTTGCTAGTATGGATAATAAACCAAATCGTCTAAAGATTGAACGAAAAATTAAAAATATTAAAAAATAATGCTGATTTATGATGCTGATTTATTATTATTTACTAATTATATAATTATTAAATGGAATATCGAATTATCTTTTTATAATAAATTTGTTATTTTCTACAATTTATTTTAAATATTTTTTTATAAATTTATATTATAGATAAGAAAATAAAGCTTTATACATTTTGATTTTGACTATTT